CTCTGAAGAGTCCAAAAAAATGGTGAGATTGTGAAATTTAGCGTGATATCAAATGTTTTTTTCTATCTTACATTTGGTTACCTTTAACCCTCTTTCTTCTTGTTTCTTTTGTTGCTTGCAGTTTGTCACACTCGAAGTGAAACAGGATGTGGATGACCAGAGCTGTTGCTCTCTGTTTGCTGGCCTTCGTGGCCTCTGCAGAAGACAAGAAGCTGAGCAGCCATGCTAACACGCTGGCTGACAACAGTGCCAACTTGGCTTTCAGGTTAGCTATGATTCAAAATGAGGCCGCAAAACAAATTAGCAAAATTGCTGCTTAAATCATTTCCAGCATTTTGAAGCCTAAGTGCCATTTTCTTAGAAAATGCAATTAATGTGTTTTTCTGTTCTTTTAATCCAGTTTGTACCACAAGATGGCCCAGGATAAAAATACAGAGAACATTGTTGTTTCTCCTGTTGTTGTGGCGTCCTCTCTGGGGCTGGTTGCTCTCGGTGGTAAGGCCTCCACTGCCTCCCAGGTGAAAACTGTCCTCAGTGCTGACAAACTCAAGGACGAGCACCTGCATGCAGGCCTGTCGGAGCTCCTCTCTGAGGTAAACAATGCACAGAAGAGTACATTTTAACTTCTCATAGTCAAAATAAGGTTGTGTTTGAGGTCAGAGCCTCTAAACATTTGCACTAAGCGTTCACATTTCGCGTTTTACCAGGTGAGTGACCAAAAGACCCGAAACTCCACCTGGAAGATCAACAACCGCCTCTACGGCCCCAGCTCTGTCTCCTTCGCCGATGACTTTGTGAAGACCAGCAAGAAGCATTACAACTATGACCACTCAAAGATCAACTTCAGGGACAAGCGGAGCGCAGTGAACTCCATCAATGAGTGGGCAGCCAAGTCAACAGACGGCAAGCTGCCAGAGATCACCAAGGATGTGCAGAACCCAGACGGAGCCATGATTGTCAACGCCATGTTTTTCAAGCGTAAGTGCACACAGTGTTAGGGCGTGGCCGCAGATCCCATCTAAACCCTTCCCAGGTGTGAAACTGATTTTCTTTTTAACCCACAGCTCACTGGGATGAGAGATTCCATGAAAAGATGGTTGACAACCGCGGGTTCCTGGTTACCCGCTCCTTCACTGTTGGAGTTTCCATGATGCATCGCACAGGTGAGCATTGCCATCTCTGCTTGTGATCTTGTTGCGTCTTCCCAGCTGTATCCTCACATCTGATAAGACTTCTGATGTCTCCTTCCAGGTCTCTATGACTTCTATGAGGACAAAGAGAACAATCTCTACATCCTGAACATGCCTCTGGGCAAAAAGCAGGCCTCCATGATCCTCATCATGCCGTACCACCTGGAGCCCCTGGAACGCCTGGAGAAACTGCTGACAAAGAAGCAGGTAGACACTTGGGTGAGCAAGATGGAAAACAGGGCCGTGGCAATTTCCCTCCCCAAGATCTCACTGGAAGTCAGTCACAACCTTCAGGTACATGTTTCAGTCAGTATTTGCATCAGAGAATTTTATAATAAGCGGTCAATAGAGTCTTAAGCAGTTGTCTTTTCTTCCTGTAGAAATATTTAGCTGAGTTGGGCCTCACTGAAGCGGTGGACAAATCCAAAGCAGACCTCTCGAACATCTCAGGGAAGAAGGACCTCTACCTCTCTAACGTCTTCCATGCTTCTGCCCTGGAGCTGGACGTGGATGGAAACCCTTACGACACAAGCATCTTCGGCACAGAAAAGCTGAGGAACCCTAAGCTCTTCTACGTAGACCACCCCTTCATCTTCCTGGTGAAAGACAACAAGACCAACTCCATCCTGTACATCGGCAGAGTGGTTAGACCCAAAGGGGATAAAATGCGTGATGAGCTATAATGATAAAGTTGTGAACCATGCTGGGTAGATTTAATACTTGTGAATTTCTGTCAGGAAACTGTATTCATGAGTGTGTGGATGTGTTTTTATTGGCGTGATTGTTACCTCAGGAGCACATTCCAATACACAATCTGTGGACTGGATTTCTAAGTAGACTAGTTTTTGACACTTTGAGCTTCGGAAGGCAAAACACACAATAATCAGCATCAGTTGGCTCAAATGGGGACATACTTATATTAAGTATGACAATTTTTATTTTTTAATTTCCAAACCTGTTTGGCCACTGATGGTATTACCATGTTCCCTGTGCTTTTTCTTGCATTATCTTTAATGTTTAAAGAAAAAAAAAAGATCTTTGCACAAGTTTCAATTTGCAGCTCTCATTTATTTCTTTATTTTGCCACCACCTTGCACTGAAAGGTGGCAGTATGTGGTGCTGAATTCATTATCATTTTCCAGCAATACCCAGTCATCGTGTCATTGTAGATATTTCCACAAGAAGCTGTTGGAATAGTGTGACCATGTATTAATGTTTTTTTTTTTCTTTTTTTTTTCAATAAAACAAAAGCAAAAAAGATTTGGCGTGTCTGTTCTGCTTTTTGAATTCATCATTGAGCACCATTTCTTTTTTTTTTTTTGAAGTGTAGTCACGGTGTGCATTCATGCTCCAAATGTGAGATAACAATCTTTCCAGTTGGCTAGAGGTCAAACATTCCTCTCTAGTCTGGAATGCAGAGATTTAACAATGATGGCTCTCTCTTCTTGCACCGCTAATCTACCATAGATACATAGACTTCTTTCTAACCACTCCTACCTTCAACAGCACACTCAGTGGGAACTCTGTGGGAAAGTCCCAGATAGAGGAGAGACATGCATGCACTGCAAATAATAGAGTGGAGTGCAGGACTCTCATGGTGATTGGGTACATTTCTCACAAGGAGTTCAAACAAAGAAAAAAAACGGGATTGTGGCAGTGGGACGAGTGTAATAACCCCCCAGATAAAGATATAACCCAAGTCTTACTTCTACATCACAGTAACACTTCGTCAGAGAAAAGTTTACTCCTTTAAAACAAATCGGCGCTTGAGCTTTACCATGATAAAGAAACATTAGCAAACTTACAACGATAAATGCAACAGCACCTCCTTGTGGTGATGAATGGTAAAGACTATTCATTTATGTGGACAAAGTGATACAAATCAATGGTTTATTTGTATGGTAATTATTTACATGTAGATTTTTCTTCGTATTGCAGAGATCAGACATACAACATTCAGATAATTACACACTATACACATTTATCACAGACTTTGCTGTCATCTTTTTTTTTTAAATAAAGCACATTAAGCTCATCAGCCTACAAGGATTGTTGGAGTTTGAAAAAAAAAAATCCTTTTAAAGGTATTGTTGAATTTCTTTATGATGACATCTGCTGCAAGGTTAGGGCTTAGGCAAATCAACATATTTAAGAATGCTCTTCTTTTGTCCAAATTACTTCTTTCATCACTGATTTTTGTTTTTACTTTAAAATGATTTTATTTTATCAACAAAAGACATTGATAACATCCATCTAATCTCTTATGGAAACATGACACATTACATTGAATTGTATTTGTATGTTTTCCTGACATAAAGGAGAAACTTATTGAAACTTTAAATCTGAACCATTGTTTCAAAACACTTTAAATTAGTCATTTTCCAAATGCACGACTGATGCAAACTGAACAGGAGTGTTACTCTTAATAAAAGCATAAAAGTGATTTTATACAGAAGCAACAAATTCACTGCAACTACAGGCAGAATTTCCCAAGAACGATTATTAACTTCAGCAAATTTTTCACATTTGCTCCTTGAGAAGAATGAGGAGGTTTTTTTCTAACCTTGCTTCAGCGGCACAAATGCTCTTGCTCAGGCCACTATTCTGAGGAGAAGCAACTCACCAATCAGTGTTACTGATTTGGTTTTAAAAAAATAAAAATAAAAATAAATTAACTGAGCAAAGTAATTTTGGGAAATTTATCTGAGAATAAACTCCTTAGGACCACTGATAATATCTATCAAGACTTTAAGAAAAGAAAACAAAAACTAAAAAGTTACTTCCTTGTCATTACAGAATCACATAACACTTAAACAATTAGGTAATTTTCTGAAAGTTAAAGTGCAGACATCAAGCCTTGCAATACCAGCTTTCTCTGGGAGATCGTTGCTGAGCTTTGCAAAGCATTTGTCTTCTTAAGGGACCTCAAGATTTCAAAGTAAACACTATTTTATGAAAAAAAAAAATCATTTTTCTGTCAGTGCCTTCCAAAAGCTGACCTCATTTCTTTACTGTAATCTATAGTAAGTGTTGTTACTGTAAAAAGCTTGTTGGAGGGTGCAAATTCAATCTTGGTCCACTCCACTGCAAACAAATAAAATTAGCAAGGAGGATTTTTTTTTTATTTTTTTTTAAATAGTTGATTTTACACAATAGCAGCCGTCGCCTTCGCATAATAATAATAATAATAATAATAATAATAATAATAATAATAATAATAATAATAATAATAATAATAATAATAATATAAACCGCTACATAACAGGCTCAACTCTGTACCTTGACTAAAAACAGCTTTCACTGAAACATTTCAGTTTGAAATAGGCGTTTGGGGCGTTCAGTCTTTGGATGGATGAACCTTCGGTTGCCCTGACGTAGTGGACCACGCAGTGGCCAGTGATTTCAGAGAGGATTGAACGAGTTCAACCTTCATTAAAGAGCGAGTACTTGTTGGCAGCAGGTAGGCAGCCAGGTGATGTGACCATTCTCATTACATTAGCACCGTCATGTTCTGCTGTGCTGGCTGAAGGGAGATTAGCCAGTCGATGAGCAATCCTCTTAAACAAGTCTGCATTAAGCCACATTGAGAGGCTGGGTGCTGCTTTCAGCCCTGCGCTTGCTCCTCCCGGCTTTTCTTCTCTTTCTTCATCTGGATGCCTCGGTCCTGTGCTCCTCTGTAGGTCCTTTGATTTATTTGCTCCTCTTCCTCTCACTGATTCAGATATTTTTTGTCCACTTGCCTATTGGCCTTGCGGAAATGAGTCTTGATCTCTTCTGTCACCATCTCTTGCCAGTTGTCCCTAGTTTAACAGAAAATGTATAGTTGAAGCCTCTGTTGTACAATGCAACTTATTTTAGGAAACAGATTGGTGGGAAAATAAGACACACATAAAGTACTATTACAAACAACAAATGAAAGAAATGAAGGGGAAATCTGTCAGCCAACACAAAAGAGAATGAATGCAGTAAACAAGCCCTTCCCCCAATCCACTCAAGGAGAAGAGGAGGAAGGCGATCAGATCAAGAGATTAATGAGATTATCAATCAACAAGATTTGGAAATCAATAACAGGAAGTTGTGGGTGTGGAGACTCAGGATGCAATCATATTAAAGCAACAGTAAAACAACCACAGCACAACACCAGGCAGCATGCTGATCTATACCTCCTGCATTTGACCTGAGACCGTCAAGCCTTTTTCTCGGCTTTCTTTCTCCTGTACGCAGCTATTTCCTCAGGTTTCAGCCCATGATTGTCTTCCCTGTTGACAACAGCAGTTTGGACCAGTCCAAGGTTTATTGGAGACAGTTATGAAAATACAGTGCCTTGTAAACTCACCAATACCCCTAAATGTTTTGTTCACAACATGTCATATTACAACCATAAGCAGCTTCTTCAGGCCATTTGATATTATGCAATGCAATCATAATTTAGAAGTAAAATAATGCATTCATCCAATGTCATTGGGGCCATTAATCGAAAAAAAAAAAAAGTCAATCCAGAGATCCAAAGCTCAGGTGGAAGAATCTAGAGACAGGATAACTGCTTTTTAAGTCATAACCTCACAAATCTGGGTTTTAAAGAAGAGTGACAAGAAAAAAAAAAGCACATTTGAAGGAAGCTGTAAAAAATCTTGTTTACATTTATGCCGTAAGCTACATGGCAGACACAGCAAACATGAAATGAGGAGACAACAATTACATTTTTTGGGCTACAATTTAAACATTACTTATTGTTCAATGGAATTATTCCGATAAAAGTGCATTTATATGTTTGAATGGGCCAGTCAAAGCTTGGACCGTAACCCAATTGAGAATTTTTGACTAGTCTTCGATTAGTTGGAGAATTGATGTTCTCCAACTAATCTGCAAAGAAGAAAGGGTAAATATTTTACTACCTATGTGTAAAGCAGAGGGAAACATACTGCAAAAGGCAACTGTAATTGTAGCAAAAACTGGTTCTACAAAGTATTGATTCTGCAGAGCTGCATACAAATGTACCCCATTTTTTTTCCAACATTTGTCAAAAATACATTTTTAAAAAAACTAAAACTAGTTATCATTTTCTTTCCAGTTCACTATCTTTGTTTCTCTTTATTTCAGTGCAACACACAACATCCCAATAAAAGGTTTTGCAGTTTCGGGTTGTAACATGACAAAGTGAGCGAGTTTACAGTGAAATGTTGCTGGCGTTGTTGCTCATATTATATGTTTCTCATTTTGATAAAGCAACGTAAAACAGTGCTGTAAGATAAGAACTCTTACCCTGGTCTTATTTCTGGTGGTTTTGGCAAAGGTTTTGCAAAGTTGGTTTTCCCGACAAGCCAGTATGTCTCCTCTATACCTTTACCCTGCAAGTAAGGAGCAAACAGTTATCTTATCAGGTCCATTGTAAAAGCAGTAGAAATAATTATTCTGGGACATTTTCCACGTTTGTTACCTTCAGCTCTGTCTTGCCTCTAACGTCTATTTTATATCCATCATTAAGAGAACGCAGGATCTTCACAGTGCTACAATTTACATGGATTCTATAAGCTGAGAGGGGAAGAAGACATTAAAAGACTGAGGTAAATGGGACATACGACAGAGCAGCACAATGTTGAGTAAATGTGTACGGGATACTGACGCAGCCCGGTGGATTCCATACGAGAGGCAGTGTTGACGGTGTCTCCAAAAAGGCAGTAGCGAGGCATGGTCAGTCCTACAACCCCAGCAACACAGGGCCCTTGAGGAAAAAGAACAAATGGACAAAGTAAACCAGCAGAGAGAAGGGAGGATGTAGAAAAAAGAAACACTTCAATAACTCCTGTACAGTACAGTTAAAATGAACCCTTGAGCCTGTTTGAAACAGTGATTGAGCTAACCATTGTCTTTAAGGTCTTGGGATAACTGACAATGAGTGTTTTAAATCGCTCTGAAAGAAATTTGGTCCATTATTCTTCGCATCGCTATTTTAATTCAAATAAACTGGAGACTTTTCATGCATGAGCTGCTGCTTCAAAGTCCTGCCACCACATTTCAATCTATTGAAGTCTGGACTTTGAATATCTTCAACCTTATTTCAAATCAACAGCAAGATGCTTGGGACCTGGATACTCCTGGTTTTAAATATGCCTTGCCTTTGTTTTGTTGGATGTTCCATAAAGAATGTTTTGGAATGGATAAAGCAGGTTAATATCAAGCTTCCCAAAGCCATACAGAAAGTGTATGCACTCCACCATACAGTAAATGCAGTCTAGCACTGCGTAGGTAGAGGAAAGCCACTAGTTCAAGCTTCTACATTTATTTTTAAACTTGTTGGATAATCATTCCAACATGTACAAAAATCTTTTAAAATCAATCACAAAAAGTCCAAAATTAACATGAAATTAGTGCACATGATGATTTCATAGAAATGGCTGATGGCACTGTTATTAGACAACAAAAACTGGTTCAAACTTGAGTACTTCTTAATCAAGTCAAAACCAAACATCTTCCAGTGTTATGACGAATTAAGCAAAAGTATAAACACACAAGTCATGCTGAAATTATGAAACACTCATTTTTGATAAGTATTCTTAATCTCCTCGATTAAGCTAATGCCTGTATACAAATCCTGTTCAGAAATGCGATTGTTTTTTAATGTGAATTTTGTAGGACTCAAACTTCAGTTTCCCAAAGGAAAATACATATTATGTAATGTTTTCAGGGTCATTAGTCAGCGCTGCTTTCTTTAAGCCCACCTGAGTGAATTCCTATTCGTATCCTGACGGGCACGTCTGGCATGTGTCGCATGTGGAATGAGCCCACTGAGCTGAGGATGTTCAGAGACATGTTGGCGATCTCTGCGGCATGCTTGTTGCCATTCCTCTTAGGCAGACCCGATGCTACCATGTAGGCGTCCCCAATGGTCTCCACCTGATCAAATTCACAGATAAGCTAGTGTCATTCCATGTGAACTTCATGCAAGCGATGCGAACAAACTCAACATAATTCTCTGACCTTGTAAACATCATGGTTGCTGAGCACAGCATCAAACAGCGTGTAGAGGTCATTCAGAAGGTCAACCACTTCAATGGGGTCACTGAGCGAGGAGATGGTGGTGAAACCCACAATGTCACTGAAGTAGATTGTCACCTGGTCAAAGTACTCTGGCTCCACTGAGGCGCCCGTTTTAAGAGCCTCAGCAACAGAACTGGACAGAAGACATAGGGACACATTTAAAGGAAGTGTAGCAAACACTTACAGTGTGCGAGTGTGTCGCTTCGCTAACTCACGGTGGGAGCATCTCAGAAAGCAGCTTCTCCGTTCTCTGCTTTTCCACCTCCAGCTCCTCTGTTCTCTCTCTGATGAGATCCTCCAGATTAGAGCTGTACTGCTCCAGCATTCTCAGCATGGAGTCAATGATATTGGTCTTCTTGCCTTTGTTAATGATCTTGAACTGTTTCACATAGAAAATGAAATGTATTTAATGGGTTTGATGATGTTGAGAGATTAGATAACTGGAGCAAAGGATGGTATGCAAAAATTCACCCTGTCAAAGATCTCGTCAAAAGTTGGTCTGCGGTCAGGCTGTTCGCTCCAGCACTGCTTCATTAGCTGAATACATTCAAGTGGAGCCTGATCCGGTGCGACTGTGGGACGGCACATTGGTGGAGGTTTTTTTACTTTACGGATGATTTCTGGGCACAAAAAAAAAAAAAAAAGGAAACGGGACACATTTGTTGTATTTTGAACAGAGGCAATATTTTACTAAATCAGAGTGCTGCAACTTGACAGCCATTCAAATCAATTAGAAAACAGTGGAAAATATGATGCAACAAAATGCAAATGTTTTAATTTAGGTAAGTTCTACTAAAAACACCAACTGAATTCTATTCAACAGGTTTCGATCTTTTACCTTAAACGTTTTAAGTTTAAGCTCTGACTGTAAATATAAGCAAATTAAGGGGGGGCTATTTACTTGTAGTGGTTTTCCTGTCATCTATAGATCAGCACATATCTCCCTGTTTTGAATGGCATGCTTTCTTCTGTTTCCCCTTCTTAAAAAGCTTATATAAATGAGGTCCTATGTGAGATTACTAAGCAAAAGTTCACAAACACCGATTCATTTTTAAAAAGCAAAACATTTAATTAACATTCTTCATGTATTTCATATTGAATGGGTAGGCATTCATGCATACAGATGAGTTCATAAATTTAAACATAATGTGTGCAATGATTCTAAATTTATCAGTGTGAAAATATATCTGGAATAAAAAACATATATTTATCCAAGGTCTAGAACACGGTACCAGTAATTTTGCAGGGGACAGTTCCATATTCATTTTTGGTGTAGTTTTGCAACTAATATTTGCTAAAAACTGATTATTTACAATCATATTTTAAGGGAAATTACAAATGGTATGATGCTAAAGCTTCGGTTCTAGTTGGTAAATTATATCTAACACCCAACTCTCAAAAGTCAAAAGGTCAAAAACTGTTGTGCTTAAGTTTGAGATCTTGCTTCATGTACAGTTAGGCAGCTTTTTGCATATTTCCAGCTTTCTTCTCAAAAGACAAGCATTTTGTTAAAAAAAATAAATTGTTAAATAGTTGGGAGGAACTAATGTGAAGATAAAATTTGTTGTGCAAACAGTTTAAATTATTCTTTTCAAATTCTTGTATTCAGTTAAGATGCATAGAACAACAACACAACCAAACTGATGCGCATAACAGATACATGTGATACAAAATATGTATTTGAGTAATGGAGCAGACCGATGCTCTTTGGACAAACCTTCAGGGGGTAAATCCAGCATGCAGTACGGTGGCCCTCTCACTACCACCTCCTGAAGAATTATAGAAAAACTATAAATATCTCCTTTATAAGTTCCTTTACGGAAATTTGTATGGTCTCTCAGGAACTCAGGGGCTGTCCAGAATAGCTCTGAGAAAAAAGAAAGAAAGAGAAACACTCATATGTCATTGCAGTTATATATCAAATAAAATATATTTTATTTGATAAAATAAAATATATTTTTATATATTTTATAATATATAAAATATATATTTTATAATATATAAAATATATATTTTATAATATATAAAATATAT